TGAGTGGTCAAGTGCAGAGAAAAGTGGAAGAACAGAAGTCTTCAAAATAAGATCACAGCTGAGATTGGGAGATTATTTCACAACTGAGGGCTGAACCTGAAGTTTATAAGTCTTTGTCTAATACCAATAGGATTTTTGCCTCTTCACTCACAGAAGCTCAGGAAAATCAGCTGGCATTGTGAGCAGTATCCCAGGCTCCTCTTGGCTTCCTCAAGACAATTCCTGCTCCTGAGGCAAGCTGCATTTTGTTTCCTTCTTCTGGGTCAGGTCCAGGCTAAGGAACAGACTCCCACGTGACACTTCTGACTCCCCATCTTCTGAAATACAAATACAAACATCAGAGCTCAGGTATTTTTGTCCCTTGATGAAAGGAGGGTAGTTTGGCTTTGGTGGGTTCTTTTTTTATTTTTGCTTTCCTTCCTGAAATAGCCTCTAGTGATCTTCAGCCCAGGAGTCCACGGGCTGCTGTTCACACTGTTGCTCACGTCAGAGGTATCAGCCCTTCATGTTCCCCACCTTAACCCCAAATCTGAATTCCAAACATTATTACTTTGTGCCCAGTTGCACAAGGAGATAGGTGACGACATTCAGTAAAATCGGATTACTGGCCAGTTAAATGATCCCAAGCTGGATCCCAGCCCAAGGATTTTCAAGCTGTGCAGGCTTCCCTCCTTCATTTTCTGTGAGAAGAGGTAAATATTGCCAGGCTGCCTGGAGACGTCAGTCAAATGTTGTGACAAATCTGAGCACAGCCAAGAAGGAATTACAAGGTGCAGAGAAGATAAAACTGCCTTGGGGAATTTATCCCAGCACTGTGAAGCACAAGAGAAACTCCTGCTTTATGTTTTCTTCTCCTTTTCCCAGTTTACTTATAAATTGCAGAAGAAATGGGGTGTCTGTACCCTTTGGGGAATCACAAAAATATTTTGAGATTTCCTCAACAAGGAAATCTTGTGTCATGTGGAGTCTTCTTCCTCCTGAGAGGGTTTCAGCCCAGCTGACTTGCATACCTTGAAACCACTGACTCCCTGTGCTGTTCTTTCACAGCCTTGCATAAATATTTGGCTGGAACAGACAGACCCAGGTAAATGTGAACCCACATCAATGTCAGGATTAAGAAAACACACTTGACTCACTTAAGCCCAGGAGGTTTTAAAAAATCATAATGTCAGTAATAAATTTTAAAGTAAATTCTTATTTTTGGCTCCCACTTCTCAGACAGATGTGCAGGCCATTCTCCAAAGGGTTTCCCTTCACCTCTGAGACATTCATGTTTGGAGTTGAAAGCAAAAGCCTCTACATAATTTCCTGGTCCTGTGATTTTGGTTGCCCAGAGCTGGGAAACTCATGATAAATTAGCACTGCTGCATGTCTTGGGGTGTCAAAGCCTGTTTCCATCTTTCTGGGAAACACCGATGCCTTTTTGACACCCCCAGAAAATTCCCAGTTTCCCAAATTGGGGTTTTCTCCTGACCTTTCCCTCAGCTGATGGTTGGGATGTACTTTACCAGACACCCAGCTTTTGAAGCAGTCATGCTAAATATCCCTTTCTTTTTGCAATCAGCTGCTGATGATTCATAGCCTTGATCTGACACCCTCAGTAATTATCCCCTCTGCAGCAGAGGCAGATTTGGAGCTGGCACAAGCGGGAAGGCGCCTGTTACCCTGCAAATCAGTGGGAATACTGGGAGACCTTCCTGCTGCCCTCCTGGGAATGGAGGCTTAGCTCCATGTTCCTGGAGGAATCCCTTTTTCCAAGAAGTGGAGGCCATGCTGTTGTTTCAGCCACCGTGGTAACTGCCAGCAGCCAAGGTTTGAGGTAACAAAAGACAGTTATGTCCAACAAGTCTGTTTAGAACTCACAAAACTGCCTGTGCAAGTGACAGGGTGCCTTTTGTGATAATTAGGAGAAAACCTACATCCCACATCAGCAATCTAGAAGGATTTAGATGCTCAGGGGGTGAGGCTCCCTCCTCTTTGCCCAAGGCCAAAGGACCAGCACATCCCACATCTGCTGATGGGACCAACCAGACAGAATTCTTCTCCTGTCTCTTATTAGTTACAAACACCACACAGTGAAACCAAATCCAGACTGACTTTTAAGTGGATTTCAGGCTGTTCTGTTTTCCTTAGGTTGCTGCCAAGGGAGCTCTGTTCTTATCTGTTATCCCCACAGTCCTCAGTTAGAGAGGAGACCCAGCATACCCTGGGGAAACCCCCATTTCACAGGCAATGAGCCACAGGATATTTTTGCAGTTTTTTATAGGCACTGGTGGCATAAACAGAGAGTTTGAGGAGCTCAGCATCACCTCCCTCTTCTCTCTGTGTGTGTTGTGTATGGGTATATGTGATCCCAAGGTGATCCCAAATTGATCCCAAATTAATCCCACCTCCAGATGAAAATTCCAAATAAACCCCAGCCCTGATGAGAATTCCAAAATGAACCCAATCTGGATAAAAATCCTCAAGTAACCCACACCTGGATGCAAATCCAAAATCAAACTCCAAACCCCCATCCAGATAAAAATCCCAAATCCACCTCCGAATGCTCATCCTGATAGAACCCACACATTTTTGCCATGCAGGTAGGAATCCCAAAGAGATCCCCAAGTCCTCATCCAAACAAAGACCCTAATCCTTGTTCATCTGGGTGGGAATCCAAATTCAATTTACAAACCACCATCCAGATTAAAACTCCCAATCCGCCACAAGTGTTCACCATGATAAAAACCCCAAATCCATCCTCAGATCCAGTGAAACCCCCCAAATCACTCCTAAGTAGGTTGAAATGCCAAGTCATCCTCACTCCTCTCATTCCAATAAAAAGGCCAAATCCTCCCCAACATCCCAAAATCAATGAAAACCCAAACTTCTCCACACAGATGGGAATAACAAATCCCCCCTCAAATGTCCCACCCTGTCAAAAACCCCAAATCTTTCCAAAGTCTTCATCCTGATGAGTATTCTGAACTCCCTCCATGCAGTCAGGAATCCCACCACCCCCCAAGGCCACATCCCAATGGAAATCCCAAATCCACTCCTAAATAGAATGTAACCCCCAAATCTCCCCAAGTAAATCCCAAATCCCCTCCACAGATTTCCACAAATCCCCAATGAAAGCCCAAAATCATCCCCAGCCCTCCAACTCTAACAAAGCCCCTGAATGTCCCCATGCAGTTGAGAACCCCCAATCCCAACCCCACATCTCCATCCCAGTGAAATCCTCAAACTTCCCCATGCAGTTGACAACCCCAGATCCCAATCCAAACAAAACCTCTAAACCCTCTTCAACCTCCTAACTCCAAACAATCAAATCCCCCTAAACCCGCTCTCCAATGAACCCCTAAACCCCTTTCCAACTCAAACAAAACCCCCAAATCCCTCCATGCAGCTGAGACCCCCAAATCCCCCCACACCCCTATCCTAACAACCCCCTAAGCCCTCTCCAACCTCCCAATTCCAATGAAACCCCTAAACTCTCTCCCACCTCCCAACTCCAGCAAAACATCCAAATCTCTCCAGGAAGTTGAGAACCCCAAATCCCCTCTCCCATACCTCCATCCTAATGAACCCCTTAAACCCTCTCCATCTTCCCATCTCCAGTGAAACCCCCCAAACCCCTCCATGACGTTGAGAAGCCAAAATCTCTCCCAGACCCCCCGTCCCAAGTAGCCACCCATCCCCTCTACAGGCGCATCCCTCTCTCCTTGCTGCCCTCTCTATCCCCATTCCCATATCCCCATCCCCATCTCTATCCCATCCCCATCGTCCCCATCCCATCCCCATCATCCTCATCCCCATCCCATCTCCATATCCCCATTCCTATATCCCCATCCTCATCCCCATCTCTATCCCATCTCCATATCCCCACCCCATCCCCATCTCCATCCCCATCCCCATCTCCATCCTCATCCTCATCCCCATCCCCATCCTCATCA